TCCCTCCCACCCTCCTTCCTTTCTTCTCTCCCTCCTTCCTTCCTTCCCTCCTTCCTCCTTCCTTCCCTCCTTCCTTCCCTCCCACCCTCCTTCCTTCCTTCCCTCCTTCCTTCCTTCCTTCCCTCCCACCCTCCTTCCTTTATTCTCTCCCTCCTTCCTTCCTTCCCTCCATCCTTCCTTCCCTCTTTCCCTTCTTCCCTCCTTCCTTCCTTCCCTCCCTCCCTCCATCCTTTCTTCCTTCCCTCCTTCCTTCCTTCCCTCCTTCCTTCCCTCCATCCTTCCTTCCCTCTTTCCCTTCTTCCCTCCTTCCATCCCTCCTTCCCTCCTTCCCTCCTTCCTCCCACCCCCCCCACTTCTCCCTGGGCTCTGTGACCACATAATTACCCTGGATTCCATTCTATTTAATTGCAGCTTATTAAATTCTAACCAGCCAATTATCAGCCACAATTACAGCTTAATTCAGGGACACAATAGCTATTTTATCGTTTGTTAATCAAATGCTTATTTAGCCCTCTGCTTTATTAACTATTTCTGTGGCCTGAGGTGAGGCCCCTGGGCGGGAAGGAGGGGTGTGCGTGGGGCCCCCCAGGAGCCTGCCCCCCTCTCCCCCCACACACACTCACTCACAGCTCGCTCTGGGCCACCTCTAGGGCTAGACGTGGGGACTGTTAGTGACAGCAAAGATCTGGCTCCCGGTGCGCATGCCCGGACGTGGCAGTCCAGCCAGGTTTGTCTGCCGGTGCAGCCGGCACGTTCACTGAGCACCTACTGCATGCCTGCGCAGGTGCTGGGATTCTAGCAATGGACAGACAGAGGCAGCCCCCCGCAGCCACAGCGGTCCGGGGACGAGTTCAGAGTTCAGATCCCTCTGACTGCGGGGTCTGCAGGAGCAGAGGGAGGCCAGAGCACGTGCAAAGGCCCTGTGGTGGGATCTGGAGAAGGAGCAGAGGTGGGGCAGGGGGATGGCACGTGACAGCTCTTTGGCAAAAGCCCGTGCTGTCCCTGGCGGGCAGGTCCTGCGCCGGGCAGCCAGAGGCCATTGGAAGGAAGCCCAGCACCCGCCACACCACACGGCTGGCCGGGCTGGGCAGCAGCTGGCAGCACCGTGACCCGGCCGTGCACCGCACTCGGCGTCCTCTGTGTGTCTTTCAGATGCCCGTGTGCATCCTGCCCACTGGGGCCTGCTGGGGAATGGGGGGGGGCCACCTTCCGGGAGGGGGGGAGGGGACATGGCCGGGACAGATGGCTGGCAGGCGGACATTTGGTCCTGTGGGGGTGGGGTCAGCAGGGGTCACCCCCGATCCCCAGCGAGGGAGGTTGAGGCGGCCCAGAGAGGTGAGGGAACTCAGCCCCCAGCGGCTCACGCCCGTCACCCTGGCTACTCCGGAGGCTGAGATCTGAGGATCGCGGTTCAAAGCCAGCCCAGGCAGGAAAGTCCATGAGAGTCTTCAGTGAACCACCAGAACAGCGGACGTGCACTCACTTTGATCAAAAGAGCTCAGGGACAGCCTCTAGGCCCTGAGTTCAAGTCCTAGGACCAATAACAACCACCACAAAGTCAGGGCTTCATCGCTCCCACGCCACATGCTCACGTTTCCCCTCTCCCTCCTCTCTCTCTCTCTCTCTCTCTCTCTCTCTCCAGCCCTGTGTTCCTGTGCCTATTACAACCTGCTAGCAAAGCTCCCTCTGCACAAAGGTAGCCATGTTTTATAAATAACAAGTCCCGAGCCCGGTGCCGGTGCTCACGCCTGTAATCCCAGCTACTCAGGAAGCTGAGATCTGAGGATCAGGGTTTGAAGCCAGCTGGGGCCTTAGGAAAATCTCCAGGAGACTTTCTTTATCTTCAATGAGCCACCAGAAAACCAGAAGTGGAGTTGTGGCTCAAGTGGTAGGTAAAACAGCCGGCCTTGGGCACAAAAGCTCAGGGACAAGGGCCAAAGCCCTGAGTTCAAGCCCCAGTGCGGGCACAAAGATAACTAACCTAACTATGCAGGCTGCATCTCAGGAAGCCAAGTGGGTTGGACTGTGGGCCTGGGCGCTGTCCCTCAGCTCTTCAGCTCAAGGCTGGCGCTCTACCACTTGAGCCACAGCACCACTTCCAGTTTTCTGGTGGTTCATTGGAGATCAGAGTCTCACAGACTTTCCTGCCCGGGCTGGCTTTGAACCATGATCCTTGGATCTCAGCCTCCTAGGATGACAGGCGTGAGCCACTGGTGCCTGGCTAAGGGCTCTGTTCCTTTCCCAGAAACGAGGTTCAATATTCATCCAACAAGCAGCTCTCGGGGTACTTGTTCTGTGTCGGGCACTGGCCAGGCTGGGGGTGACTCTCGAGGCCCTGGGGGACACAGTCGGATCCGGTGATGGTGCGGCTCTTGTTTCTTTTAGGAGCTTAGGGAAGGGCGGTCGGTTCTGCCCGGTGGTCAGGGAGGGCTTCCTGGAGGAAGGGCCCTGCAGGGCAAGTAACTCACCCAGGCAGGGAGAAAAGTGGGCAAGAAGATGGACAGGAAGAAAGGGTTCTAACTCCCCGAATTTCCCCTTGAGAAGGAATCAGTCAGCCCGCCCCCCTAGTCGGAATTGAGGGGTGCTCTTTCAACCCCAGTTCCAACCCAGGCTTCCCGTACAGTCCAGAGGAGTCAGGCTCTGCTGTTACCCAGAAACAGAGGTGAGGGGACACAGGGGGGTTTGGAGCCCATGGGACAAAGCCCTTGAGCTTGGGAGACTGTGTCCCCCCTTCCCCTTCCTCCCCCTCCCCCAGCTGCTGGAAGGGCAGGCAGCAGATGGCAGGGGGGAGGGGAGGTAGCAGGGATACTAGCACCCCACTGCCAGCAGGAGCGGGGTGACACCCTGCCCCCCACCACCCCGGCAGGCAGCCGGGTGGGAGAAGGGGGGGGACGCAGGAGGCCCCCCCCACCCCCGCTCGGAAAATGCGGCTTCATTAATAGCCTGATTAATCACACCTCATATATTCGTGGTGCTTTTAAAAATAAAACATTTGAAGGCACAGTTCACACCCGCCCGGGCCTCGGCGTTGAGGGGGGCAGGCCTCTTCCCCCCCCCTGCACACACACACACACACTCACACACTCACACACACACACACACACAGCCTGGGGTGAATGCAGGGCTCAGGCCCATCTGGAGTTCTAGGAGTCATTCAGCCAACAGTCCGGGGTCCCCTCCCTCTGCCCTCCTCCTTGTCTGTAGCTGACACCCCGCTGACCCCCAGCCTCAATCTGAGTCCCCGCGGGGCAGCCAGGCCTTGTCCTGGGGACAGGAAAGCCTGGCCAGGGGGAGGAGCCTCTGCAGACCTGGGGAGGGGCTTCTGGGGCCTGGGGGAGGAGCCTCTGGAGACCTGGGGTGGAGCCTCTGGGGCCTAGGGGTGGAGCCTCTAGGGCCTGGGGTGGAGCCTCTGGGGCCTGGGGAGGAGCCTCTGGGGGCCTGGGGAGGGGCTTCTGGGGCCTGGGGTGGAGCCTCTGGGGCCTGGGGGAGGGGCTTTTAGGGCCTGGGGGAGGAGACTCTGGAGCCTGGGGAGGGGCTTCTGGG